AATCCTGTCTTTAGGTCTGCAAAGCTAATTAATATTCGGAGCCCGAAGCATGCACTTATGTTACAATAATATGAAATTTCAGCTCCCAGCAGGACGACAGCCCAGAATGGTCCTGAACTCCATGCAGGAGGGTGTTAAGGGGTTGGTTCTCCCCGCCGTGTAAGATGAGCGACAGCAGCTCTGAGTCAAAATAAACTGGTTTTGGGGAATTTTAGTTGGAAAACACAGAAAAAAGAAAGCAGAAAAACAAAAACAAAAAACATGGCTGAATCGATAGGGGGCTCAGTTTGTACCGTCGGCCATTCATACCAGATTCTCCCTTTGAATTGTTACCAAATCAATTTCTAACTGCGCACCCCCAGATTGGCAATTTAGATGTCTTTTCAAATTATTTACACAAATTCTAGAGTTAAAAGAACATAAAGTGGTCAAATCTGATTATTTAATATTCGCTAGAGAACTTTTAATTAAACCCCATTTCCATTTATTTGGTTCTGTTATTTGGACCAGCTGACTCATCAAAAAGCCAGATTGAATGACAATCTGCTGATAGCTAACATTTATTGTTTTTTGCTACAATAGAATGCAGTCAGGTTATACCAAATTACTCTAAATCATCAGTTATGAAGCTTGTAAGTAATTTCCTCACAGAGAGAAACGCCTGCTGGCAGTAGGCACGAAACCACCAGAAGTACAACGGCACAAAACGGTGAAGGGAGTGAAATGCCCGGCCCCCATCGTGACGCCAAGAAAGGATATTCTCAACAGAAGAATGTGCAACTCTGACAGAGGCTCATGATGTAAACATCCCCCAAATCGAATTAGGCATGGGCTGGTTGTAAGAAGCTTCCTTCTCAATACCCGTTAAATTTTCCGTCATTGTCTTTCCTTTTAATAGACTCAAGTCTTTTTACTGAGATGCTTTTCCACTCACTGATGTCGGTTGTTTGTAAAACTGGTTCTAGTTGCGAAAAAGTAATGTTCTGGATTGCAAGGCCCCTTGTTGGTCTTTTTAAGGTAACATAGTTTTAACGCCACAGCTTGGAGGCTAAAGTTGCAGATCCCTGCTCACTGCCTACCTGAGCAGAAAGCCTTACCAACATAATAAAGATACTCATAATAACTGGTTAAAGACTGGAAATAATCATTGCTCTGTTGTGATCTGTGCCTTACTGTACATGTAAAGTAGTGTAAAACACATTTTTTTCAGATCAAAAACAAGAGCAAACATCATCAATTGTAGAGTTATATCTAGTTTTTGCTTCTCTTGTGTAAAGTTCTGTTAGTTAATACAAAATAAGA